AAAACTGTTTCATCTGAGCATGTGGCACTTTAAGCATACTAGTATCGCATATCGAATATCGCATTATTTAATGAGTTATCGCATATCGCATTTTTCTTCAACATCGCACAGCCCTAATTAATAACCATAAACACATGACCTAATATTTAGTAGCCTATGTGCCACAAGTGCAACACAGAAAAGATGATGTACTGTACAAAAAAAAAAACAAAGCTCAATTCACAGCAGTAATGACCAGTGCTTCACAAATCATTCTGTCTTTAACTGTCAAAACTAAGTAAATATGACAATGGCGGTTGACCTAAAAGCATAAGCCATTTTTGGGAACATGCACAGAAAAACAAGACCCCTGAGCAAATGGAAAATAAAAACAGGAACAAAAGAGAGCTTATTTATATGGGCTTTAATAGCCAGTAAACATTGTTGAAGATAAACATATTGAGGCGACTTTGTTCCACCTGTCACATGCAGCTCTCAAAAGGACCACAGTTTATGTCTCCATGGCAACACAAGCGGTTTTAAGCCTCTCAACCACAGGTGGCTCAATTTTGGTGAAGTCTTGATATTATTGCCATGACAGACCAATTATGTGTGTATAATTAGTCTTGAATACTGCTACTCAAGCACTAATAACAGAAAAAAATAATAAATAATGGAAGTGAATTCTAATCACCTTCTAGTTCTATTTGCATAAACAGGGAAATGGCTGCACAGTAAAATGGTTAATTAGGCTAATATAGAGCCTGGGGAACTCCGCTCCTTCATTAACAGGGATGTTTTTGGTTTGTTTTTCAATTAATATAGCACCAGCAAGGAATTAGTGAGGATGAATTTAGTAGAATAAATGAATGACTGTAAGGGTGAATTAAAAGAAATATCCAGGTCGCATTTACTTCAAATAAACCACTGTTCTGTGTGACAAGGTTACAACCGATCAGAGCATATTTAATATTTAATGCACAGTTAAATGGAGCGAGGATTTGGACCAATGAGATTTTGCGACGGGCAGAGCTAGCCAGTGTGTAAACACATAAATACTGTAGAAATCAAGAGAATAACCTAGTGACTGAAATAGAAATAGTACGTTTACGTCTTCATGTAGTCCTCATCTAGAATTTCATTTTAACATTTTCTTTTCCAGTACAAAGGTTATTTATTTATTTTTTACATTATTTATGGGTGTTTGTACATGCATTATTTAAACAGAAAAATATTTGGTCGTATTCCGTGAATTATCATTTATATTAATTTTAATTAAAATATCACTTTTTTCACATTTCAGTAATGAGAATTTGGTGGCAGAATACCCTTAAATAGTCCCAAAAAATACTTAAAAATACATAATTTCTTGTTTTTTCTTTTGATTTTGGGGTGGAATATAACTTGTATGTTTCTTTGTGAGAGTCGCCCAATGATATTCATGAAAAAAGGGATGGTTGATGTGATAGGGAAAGGAGCGTTTTCTCATTTTGATGAATAAATAAATTCAGACATCATTTCAAATTTTGTGAACTTCCATTCAATTTATCGCACCATGGAAGTGGCGTACCAGAAATGATTTCAAAACAATAAGCAATTGCACACCTGAAAGGACCCTAATCGTGATAATCACATGTCCCCCTCTTTCTGTGTCTCTTTCCAACCCCACAGCACAATTTAATGAATCCTGTGTGACTGTGTGTTCGGAAGCACTCAATTTCATTCAAATGCTGATTGTGACGAGTTAAAATGGAACGAAGAGCAAATGTTGCAAATAGCTTGAGCCTGTTTTCCATTTCGTGTTCAGAATGAATTCTGCTGTGACTGTGGCCATGTGTGAATCTAAAATGGTATTTCTTCTGTGAAACAAAGTAAAAATACCATATCATATTCTCAAACAGTTCCAACAAGCCAAAGTTCTTGGAAACAATTTCAGTGGAGCAGTCGTTTTATAATCGAAGTAAAAGTCAAAGGAGGTTTAATGAGGAATTTGGATCTTACCTGTTTATAATCAGAACCTCTGCCTCCCAGCACCTGTAGCACATAGCTGATTCTGTCTCCTCTCATTGGTGGAATACTCTCCCATGTGACCTCACAGGCATTTCCCTCTAGCTGAACAACTCTTGGGGCTGAGAGGACAAAAATAAATAAATAAATAAAAAGAAAATAAAAAAAGAAGGAAAAAGGAATCATGGTGATCCCAAACTTGTGTCCCTGTACAAGTGTGAGTATAAATAAATGTGGTACCTTTCAGTGTTTGTGGCAGAGATTTGGTGGTGCAGAAGGTGTACGTATCAGAAAACGGCCCCTCGCCTGCTTCGCTCACTGCCTGGATCCGGAAACGGTACCGGCTTGATTCGCTCAGTCTTTGCAGCTTAAAAGTGTGGCTCGGACCTCTGTAAACCACCACAAACCTAACAAGATGATGAAAGCTTGTTACAAACATGCACACAAATTAATTAAGTATAGTTTATTAATGATTATTTTTTCAATCATTTACAGCCTAGTATTTCTTTTTAAAGCCTTGCGTGCAAAGGAAAAAAAAATCGGATGATTGCTTGAGATCATTGTTCCCTTCACGTCGTTTTATTAAATAGCATGAAGGCAGGAAAGAATGCGAGGCAGAAGCAGGCCTTCATTAACTCCATTCAAGAGTCCAGACTTTACTGTTTATATGGTTAAAATTGTTCAGAAGTGGAACTGAGGCTGAAAGCTCAAAACCGGGGAGAACACGGGCCTTCATTTGCTTCTAAATGAGCCATCGGTGGGTCAGTGACGAGCGACTCTGAGAAAGCATTAAGGCAGGTGGTCTTGATAACCCTGAGTCTCCTAATCTAATTCCCAACAGCGCTTTGAGATCGAGTCTTCTCATTAGTTGACTCCACCTTAATGGACCCACAAACACAAAATGTGCTTTTCAGATGATCTGCTTACATCAGAGAGAAGAACCTGCCCTACGGGTGCATAAGGGACAAATTAAAGCGAGGAAGTGCATGCATACACACACACGCGCACACGCACGCACGCACACACACACACACACGCACACACACAGAGAGAGAGAGAGATGCTTCACTACGAATAAAATTAATATGCCAAGAAGACAAGAAGAACAATTAGACCATTTGAGTCCTTTTACCAAGCTTTTGATGGTGAGTACAAGACTATTGTTTTTAATTATGAACCAGGGTTATTATCAACTGAAACTAAACCTAAAACAATAAAAAAAAAGATTGCCTTGGCAAATATCTGAAATAAAATAAGTTTAAGTTCTTTATATTTTATTTTATATTAGGTTAATGTTTAAGTAAAGTAATAAAATAAACTAAAACTAAAACTTAATAAAAACCATATAGACATTAAAAAAGGAGGTAGTTCTGTTATTAATGCAATTTTTAAAAAATTAATCTCCGTATATAACCACTGCTACTGCCATCAAAGCAGCACTTTTCTATCATTTTAAGGACTATGATATTTTTGTGCAATAAAAGGTTATAGAGATTTAGTCCATATTATGGGTTTAAGTTTTTTAAGCCAAGGACCCTCAAGTATGACCCTATGGATGACCTTCTTAACAAAAAAATAGTATGATTTTATAAATAAAAAATTGTTTGCAAAGTAAAATTCTTAGCTTGAATACTGTCACTGAATTAATGTCAAATTAATTTATAATAAAAAAATATTAAAATAATATTTGGAAATTATTTACTTTGAGTTAAAGACATTTTTCTAACCATTATTATTAAAATAATATAAAGTATTTTTCATATTTATTTGTATATAGCATTTTCAATGGAAATATCAATCCAAAGCAATTTTTATTTGGAAATATATTTTTTAAAAACCTTAAAAATAGTTCTAAATTAGCCTAACTACACAAAACATCTTTTAAAAAAGTGAGTCATTCAGACAACCTCCCGACTAGTTGATTATGAAAATCTGTAGTTTTGCGCATCTCTCTATCATTGCTAACCTCTGATTCCTGTCCTCCATCTGCAGGACGTAGGTCGTGTCGTCTGTGAGTTGACTTCGGCTGCTGAAACCCCAGCGTAGTTTCAGACTCTGAGGTCCGACCGCTGCACACTCCAGCCGAGGAGGAGATGGCGGAAGGGGTCTGGTCCTCACCGTCAGAGTCTGACTGAAGGGCCCGGGGCCCATTTCATTTTCTGCTCGAATCTGCAGGCTGAGAGAAAGAGAAAGAGAGGAAATAGATTGTTTAAACAAACTGTCAGTCTTGTTCAGTCCTTTGTAACTTCAATTCTTGACTCTCTTCACCTGAATGTCTCTACAAACTATTCTAAGGAAAATCGTTGTTAGTAATTCATTACTGTTCAAGGGAACAGTTCACACAAAAAAATGAAGCTCCATCCATCAACATCATGTGACTACAGCTGAAGCAGATTGATCGGCAAACTAGTTCCTGCAGCTTTGCCCAAAGTGGCCTTCATTTGTTCTCTTTCTGCCTTATTTTCTTCATCTGTCGATCCCAGTTAAAGCCTGCAGGTATCTTCAGCCTCGAGCTGCTCTGTGACCTTTCCAATCAGTTTGATGGCACAGGAGAAAATGATCTCTGACTGAAGGGGTGGTCTTGCATTCGAATGAGGATTTCTGTGAAGTTATCTATAGATATCCAAGAATCCAATTATTGTAAGTGCACAGAAAAACATTTCTAAATTGTGTTACCGGAAGAGCTCTGAAAGGAGGGAAAGCTATTACATTACAATACCTTTGATATATACCAAAAACATGAATCCAAATGGACATTCTGTCATTTAATCACCTTCATGTTGTTCCAAACATAATTTGCACTTATTCAAATGCATAAAACCAGTTGTGTTTAGTGCCATTTATTCACTGAATAGAAAAAAGCAGTGTGTGTGTTCATTAAAATGTGTCTTTTTCGGTTTCATGGAAAGAAGAAAGTCATACAGGTTTGGAACAACACGAATGTCTTTTTTTGAGTGAATTATCCCTAAAAAAAAGTTGTTTTGCACGAGTACATCCTAGCATACTACATTCTGGGACTAATGGAAGCAGAGAATCTAACGTGCAGATGTGTAAATAACCTCGTGAGACCATGAGGACTACTTATGGTCTCAATGGAATTTCTGTAAAAGCTTATTTACAAAAACTGAAGTTTTTTTGTTTATATTAAAAAGTCTTGCACAATGTTCAAAACTCATGTTTTAAAGCATTTAATGACTAAAATAAAAGTATGGGAACAAATATTTTGAAAGGGCTTGATTCTCTGGAAATATTGAATTAATTCAGAAAAACATGGAGGAACACAGAAGTATCTGAACGCTACACAACCCTTAAAAATCAGGGGGGAAATATAGAGGTAAGATGATGTCTCTTATGTTCACTAAGGCTGGATTTATTTGATCAAAAATATAGTAAAAAATGTATATTGCGAAATATTATTAAAATGCAAATTAACTGTTTCTATTTTTAAATGTAATTTATTTCTGTGATGCAAAGCTGAATTTTCAGCAGCCATTAACTCCAGTCTCCAGTGTCACATGATCCTTCAGAAATCATTCTAATATGCCCAAACATTTCTTATTATTACATATGTTGAAAATATTTTTTTTTTGTTTTTTTTTAGAATCTTTTGATAAATAAAAAGTTGAATAGCACAGCATTTTTCTTTAAAGAAATAGAGCCTAAGCCTCACTTGTCAAGAAAAAAACATTCCACAAAAAGAGGTTTGTTAGTATTTATAATTACAAATAAATAGATATAGATATACTGTTTACAATTAAGGCAAAATCATTAGAACACTTTGTGCTTGTCAAACATTAGTGATCATGTTTATAAGTAATGTGATACTGCTAGGACACCATGTGAGAACTTGAGGACAACTGAATTCATGAATCCATTAAAAATCACCTTGACACTGCTAATAATAATTTTTAAAAAAAGGTTGCGCATAATTTATTTTCAGAGGCCACAGGGTTTGATATTTAGTTATTTAGCGCTTTAATATTCACATAATTTAGGTGTCCAAATAGATTTTGGTAACATTGGGTCACTAGGGTGAGCTGGAACCTCTTCTTTTTTGGACTGCTCAAGAAAGATATTGAAACCTCTAGTTCCATTAGAGACATTATGCATTCTTGTGATAATTATGAGTGCATTTGCATTTGGCATATTAATTGGGGATGTGTTTTATTGTCCATTACCTCAATGGAGAGGTCCATTTAATGTTGTCATTCATCCCAAATGAAAGCCTTTACATAACATTTAACAGACTTGTTTCTGGAAATCCAGCAGGCAGACCAAATAAAAGAGTCCCTCCCTCATGCAAATGTTTTAATAAGCTCCTCCTTTTAATATATATCCATATTTACATAAGGAGGATTGCACTTTAGTACAATATGTAAATATGGATATACCATGGTTGTTGGACACATACTACAGTAATATTTTTTTTACATAATACTAAAGTGTTTTGGAGGTTATTACAGTTTTATGAGGGTAAGTTTAAGACAATTTTAAGAACAGTTAAATAAGATTTTTTTTTTAAATACATTTTGAAGGCCTTTATTTTGTGGTTGGGCGAATTAAGACTTAAGACATTTTTAAGACTCACAGATAGGGCTGTCAAATGATTAATTGCGAATTTGCGACTAATCGCATCCAAAATAAAAGTTTGTATTTACACAATATGTGTGTCAAACGATTAATTGCAATTAATCGCATCCCAAATAAACGTTTTTGTGTACACAAAATATGTGTGTGTACTGTGTAAATGTATTATGTGTATATAAATACACACACATACATATATTTTGTGTGTGTGTGTGTCTATATATATTTAATATTTAAATACAAAATTTTTCTTAAATATATACATGCATGTGTCTGTATTTATATATACATAATAAATATACACAGTACACACATATATTATGTAAACACATAATAGATGCGATCAGTGACGATTAATCGTTTGACAGCCCTACTCACAGAAACCCTGCAAAAGTACCATGGTGCCACAGTATACCTTGTTTGAAAAAAATACCCTGCTAACAGCAAAGTTAGGCTACATAAATACTCTTGAATCTACCCAGAAAGCACCATTTTGCTGAAAACATCTTGAGCCAGATGTAAGTGGAGTCCATTTGTAGAGCTAATAGCACTGACAGACTCACTCAGGGCCCTGCTCGAGATTCACCAGCACTCATCCGTATATTACAGGGACCATGGGAAAATAAGTCCCCGGTCATCACTAATTGCACAAACAATGACCTCCACCGAAGAGCTGATGATGCACGGTGCTAGAAAAAGAGATACAGAGTGTTAAAAAACATCTCTACTCACCTGTACTCGCTGTCCGGCAGCAGGTCCCTGATAACGTGACAGGTTACGTTTCCGGCGGTGATGATGCTGTCGCCCATTGAGATGCTGTAGGAGGTCATTTCTGCTCCATTACAGCGAGGCTCGTCCCAGGTGAGGGCCAGACAGGTGGAGTGGGAGAAGGGTTCACTTTCTGTTGGGTTCAGAGGGTGGTCAACAAGGCGAAATCCGGATACAACATCAGGGGCCGCCGCAGGGGTCCGACACGTCACCAGATCACTGTAGGGGCCCGCCCCTGCCTGGTTCACTGCCTATGAACCGGATACAAACAAAAGAATAAACATGTCACTGTTAAAATACAGAAATAAATAAATAAAAATTTGATGGTAGCCATTGACTTCCATAGTATTCTTTTCCTTTTGTGGAAGTCAGCGGCTACTGTCAGCTGTTTGGTTACCAACATTTTTCAAAATATCTTTTTTTGTGCTCAAAAGGTGACAGATTTTTCACTTTTGGGTCATCTATCCCTTTAATAATAAGTTGATGTTTTACTGATTATCTTTTGACCTTTATATACATTTATATATAATCATGCTTTTAGCTTTTCAAAAGATTGGGAAGGACACTGAGCATTTTGGAGAGTACAATGAGAAATGACTTCTCTTCATTCTGCTGCTGATAGATTGTTTTGGCTTTAGTTCATAACAGACACAGTGAATCAAAGCCAATTAAATGTGAAGAAGAGCTTTCAAAGGTCAGAACATTTCCAGACATAACTCCAGTCTAACGTTTGAACTCTATTAATGCTCATAATGTCTGATCTGCACAATGTGCAGGTTTATTTTTGGTGCATTAAAACCAGTTTGCAAAGAGACAATGATAATATACACACCAATGCATGTAAGGCTGTGTTTCTTATAATACTTTATTCTTATAAATTCATTGTAAACACAAACAAGTGTTGACAATGTGTGATTAAGGTTTTACACTCTTTTTGTTTAATTAAAACGCAAGCTGCCAGTAATGCATGCATTTCAATGTGATTATGCTCAAAGCAATTATATGAGCTAAATTACTTTCAGGAACCATTAGAATAATGTGTTTCCTTAACTTGGAAATTAGAAAGATGATTTATTCACAACTCATTTTATTGTAAATTACTAGAGATTCATCAAAAACTAAACTGTTTAAGCAAATGCTCAGCGGTAAACGGAATTATATATATATATATATAATATTTAATATATATATAATTCAGTTTACCGCTGAGCATTTGCTTTAACGGTTTAGTTTTTGATGAATCTCTAGTCAAAAAAATATTTTACAAAATGCATAATAATGAAAATCAATAAAAATATTTGAATAATAAAATGTTCTTTAAACTAAATAATTCTGCAATTCATTTAAATTCAGCAATTTTGTGAATATTGCACGTGTTAACATGAAATATATAAAATTAACACATTGCAATTATTTTATTATAATCCTTAAAAATTTCTATGATCATTTAATTTAAATTAACATATTAAAAAATAGTCAATCAATAGAAATTATAGCTACAAGACAAAGCTTATCTAATAGCTCTGTTTCATAGCATTAAATATCTTGAAGTGGATAATAATTAAACAAAACAATTACAAATAATAACAATAATTTGAAAATAAATACATCTAAAAAATGAATAAAATAAAATAAAATGAAAATTAACTAAAATTAACTAGGCTTTTGTCTTGGTAAAAGATCAATATGTAGAAAAATAAATAAATAAAATAAAATAAATTTGTTCATTTATCATATATTTGAAATGTGTGATGTTGGACACATCATGAATTACCTGTAGCCTGCAGCAGTAGTCCGTAGATGCCTCCAGGTTGGAGATTTGGAAGTAGGTTTCCGTTCCACTGTAGACCAGTTCGAGAGAGTCCAAATCACGTCCCCAGTCCAGCCGGTACTCAGAAATGTCTATCCCAGAGCTCTCTTTGTTCTGGGGATTGAGATCAGAGAAAGCGTTAAGCTCCAGGAAACAAGAGCAAAAAACGCATATTCCCAGCAGTACGTGACTAATTACCTGCCTGACACGGTTTCATCAGGACAAACACAAGAGAGCTAATGCATCATACGCACCGCTAATAAATGAAACAACCTCTCAAAACAGAATGCAAATCATTGAAATCTTGATATTTGACATTCAGGAGACAGCAAGGATTAAAATCACATTCATTTTCATTGTGAATGAAACACAGGAGGCCCTTTGTCACAAAAAGCCTATTGAGAAGAAGGGACTGAAAGCGCAACTGGTGAAGAAAAGGTTTTGCGTGGACACACTCTGCCACCTTCACTGCAGAGAATCGGTCTTTGGCATTTTCTAGATGATCGATGAAAGAAATATGCTGTATTTTCAATAATGCAGTTTCTGTAGCTGTGTTGAGAGTCTATTCTAGTCATTTTGTCTTTCTACGAGTCCCAAAGCCAGTGTTTGCTTCTGAAAATTGATTACTCTCCCAATGCAGCAGAAAATCACTGTCAATTTCATCAGATGACAGCATAATTCATCATTTACTGCCTGTATACTGTGCGAATGCCTCTCGCCGACTCACCTCCCAGGTCACATCTGCACAGGTGTGTGACGTCACATTGATGGCAGGTGGTCTACATTGTCCTGGGGGGCCGGCGGCAGTGCTTATTTCCACTGATTCAGAGTACGGTCCATACTGGAAAAAAAAGGAGCGAGAGAAACCGGCTGAGATTTAGGGCTTTTTGAGCTGTCTCAAAGGTAATGAATGGCCAGGGTTTGACCATCAGGAGGGAAATCTGTTATTTCTGTGGAAGGTAAACCCAAAGTGCTACACTGTGTTAGGCACCCATCTCCGGTGATGGCTGAATTAGCTTCTTAATATCCTTGCCGAGGCAGACAGAAGGTCTCTTTATCGCCCTGAGGCAATGTAGAGGGTTTGTTATAAAACGTGGATTTCATTTAAGAGTGGGAGAAACAACTGTAGTGCTGTATTTCTATCTGAGGGGGACAATATACTGTATAATGAATTAGCATTTAATTTAGAGTACATTTAAAACAACAAAAATGTCAATTGCAAAAAATAAATAAATAAAATATATATAAGTCTAAAATATTTCCTAAGGGCAATGAAACGGTATTTTACATTATTTCAAAAGCAAAAATTAAACCTTTTCTGTTAATTTATTATCATTTATTTACTATTATAGTATTTATAATAGTGCTGTCAAACGATTAATCGCGATTAATCGCATCCAAAATAAAAGTTTTTGTTTACATAATATAGTTGTGTGTACTGTGTATATATATTATGTATATTTAATTACACACACATGCATGTATATATTTAAGAAAAATATGTTATATTTGTATATTAAATATATTTATATATAATATAAAATATAAGAATATAAATATATGATGGAGATGGAACAATTAGCAATCATTTAAAAGTGAAAAAGTCAAAGCATAATCCATCACTCCAGTCCAGTATACATGATCACACCATTAGGACTGCTTCACACATCCTGAGTGGCAATTTTAACTCTTTTTCCCTCTGAATTCTGAGTTTACATCTCGCAATTCTGGTTCTTGTTTCCACCTCAGAATAAACGTAATTGTGACTTTTTATCTCATTTTAAGGATTTATTTATTTTTTTACATTTGTGAGATATAAACTTGGAATTGAGAGATATAAGCATGCAATTCTGAGATGAAAAGTCTAAATTGTGAGAAACATGGTTCCATAGGGAGGTGAGTTAAGGAAGAGGTAAGTGTAATATTATTAATAATAATAATAATTATTATTATTATTCATTCAAACAATTGTGATCTAGGAGGTGAGTTAGCAAGAGGATAATTATAATTTTATGAATTATTATTATGAGCAATTGCTAAAATTGTATATTTCAATAATAATAATAATTATTATTATTAGTAGTAGTAGTAATATTAATTAAATTGTATTACAATTAAGAAGCATTAAAGAAGCATTTTATTAATTAAATAATCTAGGATAATCTGTGATCTGTGAGGTGAGTTAGCAAGAGGATAATTATAATTTTATGAATTATTGTTATGATTAATTGCTAAAACTGTATTTTGCAATAATAATAATTATTATTATTTAATAATTATTAATAAAATTGTATTACAGTTAAATTCTATATTAATATGAAAATGGCTCATAATAATACTTTTTTTTTTTTTATTGACATGGGATGTGAGCTGAAAAGAAGCATTTTATTAATTATTTCAAAAAAGCCTATTTTGCCAAACAGAGCCACTGTTTTGTTGCAACAGCGCTGTCGGTGTGAATCCACAATGCACTCCTCCTGTCGCAGACAAAGACTTTATGATGACCTCAGAAGACATCCATCTGCCACCAACCTCTCCAAACCAAAACACATTCTCTGTCCTCTCTACAACCCTCCGGCTAACTGGCTACAGGAAGGAACCGATCAATTGCAGTGAAGGAGAACATGCAGGGAAGCTCACGCCTGCTGTCCGAGCGGCACGGAGCTCTGAGAGTCAGCGTGGACGGCTGAAATCAGCACTGCTATTTCACAGTTATTTATAGACCGGATTCAGCCTCTTAAAAGAGCCCACCTTCACTCAAAAACAGTGAGTCAGGAGTAGAATCGCTAACAAACAAGTGCATTTTATCTCTGGTTCCCTCAAACACATGCACACAACAAACCCACACACTAAACAGGGTGATGTAATGCATGGACGGCCCAAAACAAAGTAGGTGCAAAGCTTTCAGTTGGTCCAGGTGCATTCTGGGTAAATTGAACTTTAAACTTCCATAACTATAAATCCTTTGAATACTTCACCTGTTGACCTGGTAACAAACATAATTAATCTAAAAGCAGACAAGTGTCCTTCAGCTTCCTTTGAACTGCACTTCGATTGGAGTGATTTGTTGAATAGGGTCATAAATGTCAATCCATAAGGAAAAAAAACTCTTGTGCTACAAATGCAAAGCCATTTTTAGACAACCAGTTCTCTCTAAGAGGCAAAAGAGAATAAAAGGGTATAAAGAAAAATAACAGTCTCACCCCACTGCAAGGTCATCTCTTTGTGTTTGACATTACCCACGATACTTGGGGGTTGACAGCGGCCAGGGGGCGGGAAATGAGTGGACACCGTCAAGTCATCTGAGCACTGCACAACCAATACATTGAGTAAACACAATAAGTACACTGAGACTTTATTACATGAATCAGCTTGGGAATCAGTAAATGAATTTGGAAATGTTCTTATACCTGGCTTTGGCCGCCCACATTCACACAGCTGAGTCTCAGGGAGTAGCTTGTTGCTGGTTTTCGATCCTCACACAAATGTTTCCTCTCTGGTCCTCTATAGAGAGTCGCCCACTGCCTCTCTGAACACAGACACAGATTAATGAAATATCTCCAATATCTTACTGGACCTGTCAGGAACATACAGTATTAGAGGCATATTTCACATCAAAATCAAAAGAAAAAAAAACTATACTATTGAAAGAAAATGACTATTCGTTAAAGTTTGTGGTCAGTAATTTTTTATTTTATTTTATTTTAGAAATCAATACTTTTAGCAAGGATGCATTAAATCAAAACTGACATTAAAGACATTTACATTGTCACATAAAATTCTAATTCAAACAAATGCTGTTTTTTGGCTTTCTACCAGTTTCCACAAAAATATTAAGCAGTACAACGGTTTTTAAAATTAATAATAAATGTTTCTTGAGCAGAAAATCAGTATATCAGAATGACTTCTGAAGGATCATGTGACACTAAAGACTGGAGTAATGGATGCTGAAAATTCAGGTTTGCCATCACAGGAATAAATGACACTTTCCAACATTAAAATAGATATTTTAAACTGTAATAATATTTCACAATATTGCTGTTTTTGACTGTGTTTTTGATTAAATAAATGCAGCCTTGCTGAGCATAAGAGATTCTTACAAAAATGTTTATATTTATTTTCATGATAATTAAGCACATTTTCCCCTTAATTTTGCCATAACCATAAAGAAAAGAAAATATTAAAAAGGAAAATAAAAAATATAAAAGTTAAAACAAAATGTACAAACTATTTATACATCATCATGTTTTGTTTTGGTATGTGACAATACAAAAAAATAATAATGACAAATAATAATGGTCCTAAAATATTTCTACAAAATACTTTTTTCCCCCACTTATTTACTTTTCGGGGTGAAATTTGATGTGGCCATGTTCTAGTCAGATTAACCCATTTGTAATCAAATAAAGGCAAATATTTGAGGGGTTTTCATACTGTTAAAACTTGAATTAAATTATGCAACCTTCAGAAACACCTTCCGAATTCCCTTCTGATATCTCCAAGACATACGTTAAGTCTCCAGATCCACCATCATCTTGTGGAGGTTCTGATTTAATTGTAAAAAAAACAGTAAAGATTAGAATATGATAAACGGACATTAATAAAACTTTTTGAAACGTAAAATGCTGACTTAAAGATTTTCCTACCCCACGTCACACAGAAGCTGTGATATGTGACAGTGTTTACTGCAGGATTCACAGGGGGTCCGGGTCTGTCTGGGGTTGTCTTACACACAAGCAAAGAGCTCGGTGCACTGTGCCACTCGCCACTACAAGTGATGAGCTGTAGGGGGCGACAGTTAAGAGAGATGTTAGAAGTTTGTTTTTAAAGAAATGAATAATTCATTCAGCAAGGACACATTAAATTGATCAAAAGTGACATAAAAAAGATATTTAGGGGCCATTCACATGTCGCGCCTAAAAACGCGTGGAAAATACTAGGCGCGCCGCTTTCTGCTTTTTTCCCCAAAGCGTTCGGGCGCTTGCGCTCCAGAGGCGTCTGCTGTTGCTAAGCAACCATGACTTGTGCACTTCATGAGGACGCGGAAGTTTCAGCAAAGAATAAATGGATTTGCAGCACTAAAAATTGCTTGCAGTAGCTCTGCTACTAAATGTATTTAAAAATGTCTATCCTGTACAGCTATGATCAGCTGTTCCTTCATCTTGGCTGAGCTTTCAATGTTGTTACGGGAAAGGATGAAGCTGATTGGTTGGTTCTTGTCACATGACCCACGGTGCACTTGCGGCATTCTGAAAAGTTGAATTGTTTTTATCTGGATGCGGCGCCAACCATAAAAAATTAATGTATCATGATTTTCACAAAAATATTAAGCAGTAGAACTGTTTTCAACAGTGATAATAATAAGAAATGTTTCTTGAGCATCAAATCAGCATATTAGAATGATTTCTGAAGGATCATGATTAATGATGCTGAAAATTCAGCTTTGCCATTGCAGGAATAAATTATATTTTGAAATATATTAAAACAGGAAACAGTTATTTTAAATTGTAATAATAGTTCACAACATTAACATACTTTTGATCAAATAAATACAACCTTAGCGAGCATAAGAGACTTCTTTCAAAAACCATTAAAACATCTTACAACCCCAAACTTTTGTATTACTGCATGCAATACTGTATCCTACAATAAAATGCTTTTCTTTTCTTTTTCTTTTTCTAGTGTGATTAATTAACTAGAAGTAAAAAGATGTTTGTCTCATGATTTCATTGGACTGCCAAATGTATTAATTATTAAAGATTAAATATGCAGAATAACTATATTTATTTTTATACTGTGCAGTATTCAGAGTGACCTCAGACGATATCAATGAAAAGCAGATAACCAAGGTGGCGTTTGAAGACTTCAGGACACACTTTTGTGTACTAGACAACATGACTTTTGCGTCCCAATCAGCGCCATTTAAATCCTCTCAGAAGTGTCTTTCTCCCCTGATAATGCTAACGCAGTGCTCCCGGCCTTTTCAGAGATTAGACTAAAAGCCTTTAACACACACCACCACGGGAAATCAATTCACCTTCCCCCAACAACTGCTGGATCTGAGAAACAGCTTCAGGTTAGCGGAGAAACTCAAGTTCATTAGATTATCACTAATTGCCTTATTAGCGAAGAAGGAAATGAGAAAGCAGAGGGGCTTTGGGAACATGTGCTTTTCTAGAGCTCTAGTTAAACACTAGTATGGATGGTTTGTTTGTGTATGAGAACAAAAGGAAGCAGCAACTGTAAATCAAGCTAATGCATAAATATAATAAATAAAATCCTTAGGCTTTTTGGCTTTGGGCTGTCGTACCATTAACATCCTGAATCTGAGATTCACTCACCCTGAATTTGTACTGTGTGTTCCTTCTTAGGGACTCCACCTTACGGTTCAGCTCCAAACCGCTGTAAACTGCCTGGAAGTCCAGTCCCTGCCAAAAACACATCGTCCATTAGGTGTCAGGAAGTGAAGTATGGAACACTTATTCCCAGTTTCCTTACAAACAGATGGAAGTGAGGAATTGTGTGTTCTGTGCCACAAGCGAAAATCAAAAAGAATAATGCGCAATTGTTTGGACAAATGCTAGTCCTGTCCTAAACTTGAATTTGCTCCGCCTCTGAAACAACTTTTTTTGTTGGATGACATCACCAATGCCTCTTGTTTTTCGATACCTTCGCTACATTCTGGCAATTAACACTGTTTTTAATGATCCAACCAATTGCTGATAAATAAAATTAAGTTGTGTCCTATTTTTTCTTATTAATATCCTGTTTCACTCAGTAATGTGCCCCATTACAGATGCAAAATAGGAAGTGGACACTGTTGCATGACTTTAAAGTGGGAAAATGTATAAAAATTAATATTATATTACATAATTACAAAAATCTGCTATTTAAAATGTATTAAAATAAACATAATATGGACATGTATACATATATATTTACATCTACATACACATACATACATATATACAGTATATATATATATATATATATATATATATATAAATATATATATACAGTATATATATATATATATATATATATATATATAAATATATATATACAGTATATATATATATATATATATATATATATATAAATATATATATACAGTATATATATATATATATATATATATATATATAAATATATATATACAGTATATATATATATATATATATATATATATATAAATATATATATACAGTATATATATATATATATATATATATATATATAAATATATATATACAGTATATATATATATATATATATATATATATATAAATATATATATACAGTATATATATATATATATATATATATATATATAAATATATATATACAGTATATATATATATATATATATATATATATATAAATATATATATACAGTATATATATATATATATATATATACATAGAGAGAGAGAGAGAGAGAGAGAGATATTACATGTAATGTATATAATATATAATATAAAATATAAATATAATTTTAAATGTCAAAAGCATATTTCCTATCAGATTTTGTGGTTTATTTTTTGATTTTGTGGTTTATTAATTTATTAAAAATGGAAAGATTATACAATTACTCAATGAGCAAGATGAAAAATAATGTGGATGAAATATCTTCAATATATTTGGGTGGCGCATCAGCCTGAGGTGTGAAACACGACAGGCATTAGTCATGGATCCAGAAGAGCCCATTTACTCTGACAACTGTGGGCAAGGGCAATTAACTAGAAACCAGTAAAAACAGCTAAGAGACATGACATCCAGTGTATAACACTGAGAAAATCTAGTTTTGGTAGATATTATGACAACAGAAAGCCATAATAACTCCTGCACAAGGGAATTATGGGATGGGGCGGTAGGGGTGAGTTCAACACCTTGGTCTCATCCTGCATCTCCAGGATGTATGTGACGACCTCCTCAGTGCTGCAGCTGTTTGGTCGCGTCCACTCCAGTGTAACCCAGGACGGACCTGCCTGTACCAGCCGCGGAGGTAAAGACGTCTGCGGGAGACTTCCTGTGGTGTAGAAGACGACTTCTGTGCTGAATCCACTGCAGAAAAAAAACATTATATTCATGAACAGTAATAAATCCCATCCTTTCCCATCCTATAAAGATTATACGACATATCTGTGTATCATCAAAGCGTGTGAGAAGCACAAAGCTATAAATTGTTTGGACTTTCTCCCCGAGCATTCACAGCCGCCACTCACAGTGAGTAGTGAGGAGAATTTTCTCATTTACCGCACCATTAAACACTAAGACACCACAGGGCCAAAATTCTATTAAATTGCGTACAACTAAAAGCACATAGGCTGCTGGGTTATATTTATAAATATTGACTTTTTGCAGTAAATCATAAAACAATTTGAAACACAATATTTCACCTACACCTCAAAAATAAGTACTATGGCGGTATCTTGAAATGATAAACTTATCTCGGTATCTTAACTAAAATAAATATTATATTCATTTACTATGATGTTTTGATGGTAATCCAAGATACTTCAAAAATAACAGAATTATCTTGCTAAAATAAATCAAATAAAATAATAGGTTACATTTTTAAGTTGACACTGTTACAGTGTAATAGCACAAATAAGTACTTTGTAATATTAATTAACCACATGTATTTTCTGTAGGGTTAGGGTTTGGTTTTAGGGTTAGTTGCTTGTAATTATGCATACTTTACTGTTATTACTATAGTAAACACATGCAACATGTAACTATATCGCCTTAAAAATTAAAATAAATAATAAAATAAAATAAAATAAATAAAAAAATTAAATTAAATTAAATTAAAGCAACATATGGTATTATCAGTGTTGGGGAGTAACTAGTTACATGTAACGGCTTTACTTAATTTTAATACAAAATAAATGTAACTGTAATCCATTAAAAGTTACTGAGAAAAAAAATGTGTAATTAAATTATAGTTACTCATGAATGATTACAAAGGGGGTCAGACAGATCTGAATATTTTCTGTAAAAAGCTAGGATATGTTGAATAATATTAATTTGTTGCTTTGTTTTTTATGTGCATGATGCCTCCTGCAATTTAAAGACCTTTTAGTAAAGCGATGCTATTCTGATGCTTTTGTTTGTTTCTCTTGTTTGAATTTGCAGCGTGCCACATCTGCCCACATCAATCCACATTGCTGCTGAAAGCTTTCGACTACATGCTGTCTGAGAGTTGATTAACTGATTAACAGTTGAAAACATCCATTAGAAATGTAGAAAAGTAATCAAAAAGTAATCAGTTATATTAATAAAGTAATTGTAATAGTTACACTGCTTATTACATTTTAAATAGGGTAACTTGTAATTTAACCTTTTACATTTCCAAAGTAACCTACCCAGCACTGGGTATTACTGGTTATAATTTAATTTAACATTAAAAAAAAAAATCTGTTTTTGTAGGAGACAGACAAATAAACAAACCTGGTGCCAATATCATTTAGTGCTGCCACTCGAAACGTGTACCCGACAGCAGGGCACAACCTCATTACTTTGCAGTGTCGCTGGTGTCCAACATAATATTCATGGAAAATGCTGTTTTTCTTCCCCTGGAAAAGAAACAAGAATAAAGCGACACAGTCAGGAATGACAAATAGGATGACAAGAACAACACAAACATCTAAAAACATGGAGAAAAGGACATTGACAGTCACATGCTGTGGCAGAACAGAACACTCTTTAAATGAAAAGAACAACAACAAGAACAAAATTGCTGCTGGAAGCTGTGCTAACTGTCACAACAACAGGAGCCGGTATTTAATTAAGGTTAAATGCAGAGGTATTCTGAATGGATTCTGTGGGGAAGAACGGCTGCCAGCATCTTCAGACACTTCTGGAGCCGCACAGCCACAGATGAGGAGTTAGTAATGAGTCAGAAAAGCTTTGGGTAAATTAAAATAACTGAAGTAGACAGACTATGGCGTAAAGCGGAACAGTCGGTTAAAGCCTCAGTCGCCACAGGTCCAACATCTCATGCCATGGGGACAGGGAAAAAAACATCACAGTCAAAGAAGGAAGGCAAATAATAGAGAGGAAATGAGAGAGAAAGAAAAATCAACTGAATAGTACGAGTAGATGGCACACACAGGATATAACCAAATTAATTTAGAGAGGTGATACGTACCTCATCCCATTCTAGAACATAATTGGTGATTTTTGAGCCGTTGTCCGCAGGGGGCTGAAATTAAAATGAGAAATTACAAAAAAAAAATCAGATATACACTACCAATCAAAAGTGTGTTGTTATTAAGTTTTTTTCAAATGTTTTTGAAAGAAGTCTTTTATGCTCACCGATGCTGCATTTAATTTATTAAAAAAACATAGTATAAACAGCAATATTGTGAAATATTGTTACAATTGAAAACAGCTGTTATCTATTTGAATATATTTTAAAATGCAACATTAAAAATGAAAATTTTATGCTTCCTTGCTCAATAAATTTATTAATTTCTTTTTTTTTTTAAATCCCTCAGACTTTTATATATACATATAAATCCATCATTACTAAGGACAATAAGCAAAAATAAATATTTTTACAATGTGTGACTACTGCCAGGAGGTGATGCATTGCAATGATTTTACTACAGTTAAGGGTTTTTTCTTGGCATGAAGAAATGCGGAATGTGATTAATAAATCACCATAAACTAATTTTACTAAACTATATTACTAAGTAATTCAGTTTGACCCTAAGATATATGAATGGTTGTAGAAACTCTGCACAATAATACAAAATTCAATGCAATTAAGTCATACATACCTTCCACTGTAATGTGAGCGAGCTCTTGGTGCGATGGGACAGTCTGGGGGGTAGAGGGGTATCAGGAGGGGCACTGTGGGTAGTGAAGGCCCTCGCATCCGAACTGGGACCCTTTACTGAGTTACACACTGTGCTTACCCTGTAAAACACGCATGGTGAGAATTTCCCAATGAGTAGTTCAAGAGTATTTCAGAAAATCTGCTATTGTCATTTGAAATGAATAATTTAGCAATAACAATGTATTTGAATGCTGTATCCACTGTAGTTACAAGAAGAACACTCTGTGCCAGTACTGTGCCGTTTAATGTAAGCGTTCAGATGCAGAAAATTCTCATATTTAAGTACAAATCCATTTTGTAGCATATATCATCTTTGATTTAGTCATGGTAATAGGACATCAGGGCATTCATCTCTCCTCAGCACTCAAATGAAATTCAAAGTGGTCAGCTAATGGAGCGCTTCACCTCATTTGTGAGTCGCTTTGGTTAAAAGTGTGTGCTAAATGAATAAATGCAAATGTGAAACTACTCTTACCTGACGTGATAGTCTGTGGCTGGTCTGAGGTCAGTGAGGGTGTACTGGAGCTCCTCACCACTGAAACAGAGATGGACTGAGAGTGAAAGTCTGTTTGTGGGAGTAGATGGGTGAAGCATTCTTTAAAACCTCCTTCAGCTTTCCAATCAATTCATAATAGCCTGTATGCTTGGCTCCAGGGACCAAAAAAAAGGCAAAGCTGCAGACTTACATGAGGATATTTTCCTAACCGCACGGGGAAGAATGTTATGTAACTATACTATGAATGAAAACAAATAGCTTTAGTGATTCAGAACACATACATCAATAAAATTATGCATCTAAACAGTGGCCCTTACCTATACACAACCTTGTATTTCCCGTCTCGGCCCTTGTCCTTGAACTGGAGCTCGTAACCACAGGAAGGGACCCGTCCAGATGATCCCAATACAGAAACAGGCGTCCATGACACAAGCGCGGAGCGGGACTGTACGTTAGACACCTGAGGGCCCAAAATACAGACAGATTCAAGTTTTATTACAAAACATAACTACCTGAAATTTAACCTCCAAATCTAAAAGTAAATATTTAAATAAATAAATCATATATATATATATATATATAATATTTTATGTAATATATTTTTAGCAAATTGTATTTGCAATACAATAATGTTTTTTAATAATATTGCTGAAAATATTTGAAGATTTATTAATTTATTTTTAATTAGCATATATAAAAAGGCTGTACAACAAGAATGACAGTACAAAACAATTTGCAGAGAAGAGTCTGGGAGAAGACTAAAAGTTCAAAACAAAGTGAGACGACTGAAAGGCAGGCCCATTTGAATTGTAATTCCCAATTATTTATGATGTCTGGTACATCAATAAATCTAGGCAGCTGTAAATAGTACTTAATTCGGGTGCCAAGGCTACTGCAGGCTCGTCTTCAGTGAATGAAGCATCAGTCAGAGCACCCTGCAGCTGACGTCCTCCACAGTGGCTCAAAGCGGAGAGCGACTGCTCATTCACAAAACAAAAACATCTTCAGCCACAGCAAACCAGGTTATTTATCCGACACTTGCTGTTTTGCATTCAAACCAAGCGATTTTGTTTTAGTAAAGAATAAAAGCAAGAGCTATAAGGTGTATCTTCACAAACATCTAAGTGTCGGCTGCATTAGTAAAACGTTACAGGAACTGATCATGACGAAAGACACTGAAAAATGCTTCATTTATGAAACTGTAATGCCACAGCACCAATCAGGAAAGCAGAAACAGCTTCTTGTGTAGAATAAAAATAATTTTTTTAGGGTGAGATAACAGAAAGAAGCACAAAAAAGCAGGTAAACGTGTTATCATCTTGATAATACACACAAAAAAGAGACTTAACAACCCTCTACGCACACCTTGGCAATATAATCGCCATTGGCTATATAATATAATATAAGTATATAATATAATATAATAATAATTCTCTTAAAAGATATATTAAGAAATACTTGATAACATGCCTCAAACATTCTCCATGAAACACATTACTTACATTTGCGTTCTCAGAGACCTCAAATATAAAACATTTTCTTTTTAACATTACATTCTCTGCTGTACTCAGTGTAGTGGCACACTCCTGTCAGTTGTTTACTTCAATTTGCTTTATTATATTTTCTACAGTGCATTTCTGCAGGGGTCAATCTGACCTTGAACAGAAACAACATTATTACACTGAAGAAACAGTGTGTGCCTACTTTGTGATAGAACAGAGGGTTAAAAGTTCAAAGTGTATTTGCTGGTATCTGATTAGGTCAGAGGAACATGACAATTAAAGGCAATTACGATTATTATCTTTACACAAAAAGGGGTTAAAATATATGAACGAAAATGTACTGGATAGCAAAACATTAACCCATATGGCATCTACACCAATGATGTCAGAATTAACTGCACTTTTCTGAGCCATTTTTGCCATTACTTATAACTAACTGCTCCCAAGGTGGATATATGCCATCAGTTTTCACAATTCATCACAAATATGAACATGTCTCAGTTACATCTGAAAACCAGAACAAGTCTGAATGCTTTTTAATCTTCGATTTGAAATTTAACAAAACCTTCTTTTTGTGTTCTTTAATTAAATGCCACACCTATATATATATATATTCTTTAATAATCAATGTATTCTATATATAATTTTTTGGTCTCCTGTATATTAATATCACATTTTAAACCTTAAACGCATATATAACATGCGTTCCCACTCAAAGAAAGAGACAAAGATTATGAAATCGGTAGCAGAGATGAGAAAAACATATTGATGTGACCAATCAATGAACCATTAAGCCATTCATTAACAGCTGCTGCCCCCTCGTGAACGGAAAGGGAAATGCTTCATTCTGACCATCTCTAAACAATTACAATCCTCATGTCTCAGGAGTCCTTATGTGGTTGCTAAGTGCAGAATGGGTTTAACACATTATTATGAGGTTTCTAGGGTGTTCTGGATGGTTGCCAAGTCATCTATGATAATGCACCCTTTTTTCCAGGCCATATCCTGGTTGGGATTTCCAAATCACCTAAAATGTTTTTCTACACTACTCATACATTATACTGTATGTGTGTGTATTTGCATTGCTTTGATCATTCTCTGTAGATCCCACCTTCTCGCGCGCCACGATTGGTCGATTATGTATAATACCTGCACGCTATTGGTCAAACTACTTTTCAGTCATTACCTTCCACAAATATGAAAAAAAGGATGTATGGTCACCCTACTCTATGATAATCTGATCCCTAGACTCAAGTCAAGTTTATATGATTTCCCTAACCAATTTTATCGTCCACCATGCAAAAATCACACATCTGTTTAGAGAGGAAACAATAACTCTCCTTAACAAGCCTGCGGGATTTGAGGTGTCATTCAAACAATGTTTAAAATAGTTTAAAACCTAGCATTTGGTGTTTGTTTATATCCCTAATGCAAAACAAAAAAAAGTCATGTAATGCTTTCGAAAAATTCTAGAATATTTATAGTGGAGCAATAATCCTGCAGGACAAATAAAACAATAACTGGCAACATTGGTCATTTTTGATTCGCTGAACCGTCTGCGGAAAGGAGATTTGTGAGATGACATGATTTAAAGTCACTCACCTGCGGCTTGTCCATTCCTGATGGCACAGCCTGTACTCGTCTCGTGTCCACATCGTGATCTGCACAGAAAACACATTAAATGTAGCCATCCGTCTCCTATCAGTCATAAATCAGAGTGTGTGTGTGTGTGTGTGTCTGTAACATCTTCATGCTTGTTTGCATAGAGAAAGAAATACAGAGAACATAAATTCAGTATCTCTAGACAGAGACACAGATCTGAGGCAATAGAGACGTCCTGATGGATGGGGCTGTTGGATTGGGCCTGAGCCGGGTCGGAAAGTGTCTGTTGGGGAGTGAGGTTCATAGGTCTGGCTCTTATGGGGCCCAAGGGGCTCCTGCAATGAGTCATCACTGCGATGAAGTCATGGCAACATGACCCCACACTGACCTCCATGGTTTTCCCCCAATAAGATGTTGTTGGGATTGAGAGAGGATGTTTTCAGTGGATTCTTTATTTTATTAGAGGAAGAGGGAAAAGAGTGGAAAAATGAGAGATTCCACTCCAAGTATGGATTAAAATCTGTTCAAAGTGATCTTGAATTACTCATTGGATTCAAAGGAGTCACGACAGTGTTGGAAAACAATTTTGAGAAATAAAGTGATCTTACAAACTACATTTCAGCAGAAAACTGATAAACGTCACAAATTTTTGTAATACAGTACTTCACATGTTTACCAGTGGAAGCCTGTAAAAATAAATAAATAAATAAATAAAAAGGTAATTCTGATCACTTTTTCTCACAATTGCAACTATTTCAAAATTGACGTTCTATTTAACAAAAAAAGCATGTTATTTCTTTTAATTGTAATGATATTTTCTCAATATTTATTAAAATAATTTAGCAAAATGATACAATAAATTACAGTGTTGTCTTGTTTCATTGGTGGTATTAAATGTAAAAAAAATATGTTTAAAATAATTCAGAAAGAAAATAATTTATTTAGCAGGCATGCATTAAACTGATAAAAACTGACAGTAAGCATCTATATAATGTTACAAAATATCACTTTTTTATTTCAAATAAATGTATTAATTAATCAATTAATCAAAGAATCCCCTTTTGCCGTTTACAACATTGATAAAAATAAGAAATTGTTCTTAAGCACTATCGTTCAAATGTTTTGGATCAGTATGATTTGTTTTTAAAGAAATGAATAATTCACTCAGCAGGGACACATTAAATTAATCAAAAGCGACAGTAAAGACATTTATATTTCAAATAAATTCTTCATTAAGAATTCTCATTCTCATTAAAGTTTTATGATTTTTACAAAAAAAACTATGTGTACAACTGTTTCCAACATTGATAATAATAATACATGTTTCTTTAGCAGCAAATCAGCATATTAGAATGATTTCTGAGGGATCATGTAACACCGAAGACTGGAACAATGACGCTGAAAATTCAGCTTTGCATCACAGGATTAAATTACATTTAGAATATAGTTATTTTAAACTTGAATAATATTTCACAATATTACTGTTTTTACTGTATTTTTTAATGAAATTATTGCAGCCTTGGTGAGCATAAGAGACTTCTTTTTAAAAAACATATAAAACAAATATCTCACAGATACCTAATTTTGAACTGTAGTGTAACTAGCTAACTTTTCAAAAGCATAGCTAGACTTGCTTTCACTAGTTGAAATTATGAGTAGTTTGTTGACAAGCCACAGCAAAGTCCTGAACACCGCTGGAGACTGAAGACCAAGTCTAAATGTCTGGTGTCATGCATTTCACCCAGATCTGAGCATCTTCTCAGACATTCTCCACAGGAACAGCTCGGCTTCTCGTCTCTTGATTTAATTTGCCGTGCCTTTTCCCTATGCATTTTAACACGGACCAGCCTTGTGCTGTCACTTCAGACAGGAAGAGATCGGTGTCTCATTATGCACTGTGGTTTCGCCACAGATAGATTACAGACACACACTCTCTCTCTCTCTTTAACACACACAGACACAGAGGCATGGGAACCAAAGGTTCACAAGAACAAAGACCAGGGTAAGATAAGACATTAAAGAACAAAGAGGAAAACAGCGAGACAGAGTGAGCCGTTTTCAAAGGAATGATGAAAGAAAAGGAAAGGATGATATGATACAGAGAATTATGGAATCTACTGCATCTCATGCAACATGTGTTCCACATTCATCCACCATCTGATCCCAGTACAGCTACATCCCTTATTGGAATCCTTGGCTATGTGGAATTCTTCAAGCTTACTGTATAGTATACTACATACTTGAAATAAATACTTTGTACTAAGATTGGTAATCAAGAACTGATTCGTCCTTACAGCTAAATAAATGTTGCAATGAAGATGATGATGAAGGCTGAGCAATACAAAATAAACTATAAAAGACATACAACCATATAGCATAACCAGCATAGTATGATCCAACAAATGACTCCTTAAACTGATTCTTTTTTTAAAATCAGTCAGAAAATTGAATTAAAGCCTAAACATGAATTGTTATAGTATCTTTATCTATTAATACAACAGTTAAAGATAAACTTTTAGAGTTTTGTTGTAATAAATGACACTAAATAAAAATAAGAAACATTTCAATATTAAAAAAAATATATATTTAAAAATATTTTTTAAAAATGACACATTTTGGAAATAAATCGTTATTTTTATTAATTAATTAAGTTCTGACCTTTCAGTTTTATCAAATAAGCCAAGAATGAAATTTATAAATAATTATATAAATAAGGAAAACGAATATTTTTTTGAGAAACGCATATGGTAAAATAATTCTAATATTATGATTTGGTGCTCAAGTAACATTTTTTATTATTATCAGTGTTGGGAACAGTTGTGCTTCTTAATATTTTTGTGGAAACTACGATTTTTTTTTTACTTTTTATTTTTGTTGCAGGATTCATTGATCAATGATTGATTAGTTCAAAAGAACAGCATTTATATGGTAAAATAGTTCTAATATTATGATTTGGTGCTCAAGTAACATTTTTTATTATTATCAGTGTTGGGAACAGTTGTGCTTCTTAATATGTTTGTGGAAACTGTGATTTTTTTTTTTTTTGCAGGATTCATTGATCAATGATTGATTAGTTCAAAAGAACAGCATTTATTAGAAATAGAAATATTACTGACCCCAAACATTTGAACGGTACTGCACAACTATACACTCCAGCAGCAGTAATAGTACTTTTAGTATGCTATTCCCAGCCTATTTCATTCAAGCGACTGACTGTATTGCACCAGTAGTGGGCACTCTTCTACATTCACATTCACACTCGCACTATATACTGTTTATCCAATGTGTATGTGTGTCTGTCACACTAAGAGTAAGTGCTGACACTGATATAACAGCTCAAAACAAAGGCTTAGAGGTAAGGACCCATAAAGCTTCATGGAAATGAGACTTTAAAGTCAACAGATGTGGACAAGATTGTTGACTCATCTCAACAGAGTCAGCAGCTCTGACTGCTTTTCTTTGAGTCCAGCTGACACTGGAAGTATCCTTTGTTTTTGCTCTCAGCTGTTGCCACATGTATGAAAATACGACAGAGACATGAGAACAAAATCAGCAAGATGTCTCTTAAATTAGAGGTGTTTTAAATTCGACTTAGCTCACCCTGTGGCTCAGTGTCTGAGTGTTTGGGGCTTCCTCTGGCTCTTCGATCTGGCCTCTTGTTGCCAGGGCTTCCTCCTCCTCCTCCAGGGCTGCTGTGGCTCTTGCCGTAGCCGTTAGCGGTGGTGGTGCAGGCCGTGGTGTTCTTGTAGCTGTTGGACAGCGGGCTGGTCACCTGACTTAGACTTGTACGCTCCACCGGCTGTTTGAGCTTCTTGGGTGGAGGTTTACAGTACTCCTCATGACCCATGAAAGTGGAGATGTTATACAGCGGGATGATCTCTGAGATAAGACAAAGATCGTAATTACACTATGGAAAGTAGAAAGCAAATGCGTTGCATACACATGAGCACAAAAATGTTAAACAAAGCAACATATTTATGTAAAACATAATTACTGATATACTTTATACTGTATTTTAAAATTTAGTTTACAAAATTCAATATACAATTTATATTCTAGTCTACAAAAGTGTTTTAAGCAGCGTTGTGTATACATAAGCACAATAATGTTAAATAAATCAAAACTTAATATATTACTCAAACTATTTTAGGTTAATTTTCTTATGTTTTTAAAAAACTCTTAAAATATTTTAAAATATTTAAAATGTAGTTTAATAAAAAAAGTAAAAATGTTATAATATATAAAAAAGATGTAATGTGTAAAAAAAAGTCTTAAATGTTATAATATATAAAATGTAATATATTTTTATATTCACTACACAATTTGTATTCGTCTACAAATCTAATTTTGTGCAGCAATGTGCATACATATGATTTAAAATTTTAGTACAGCAAAGAAATTCATATATTTAAAATAATTTAATATAATTATATATTTCATATTCAGTACATATTTAGTTCATATTCAGTATACACATGACGACAAAAATGTCAAATAAATCAAATTACCTTTATATAAATAATATTATAAAATACAGTATATATTTAATATGAATAACATTTTATATTCAACATACAATTTATATTTGTCCACAAAAGTAATTTTATTCAGCACTGTATATCTCACCACACAAATGAAAATAAATGAAAATTTAGCAATTTACAGATTTGATATAATATATATATTTCTATTCTACAAAACTAATTTTGTGTTGCATTGTATACACATATGAAACTTAAACAAAAACACAATTATAGTATAAGTTTAATAAAATTATATGTTTATTAAAGAAATGCATGTTATACATTAAAATATTTTACAAAAAAATTATATATATATATATATGTAAACATATTTATTATATTTCATATTTAGTTTAAAATGTATATTAGTCTACAAAAAGGATTTCAATCATTTAAGAATAAGAAAATCATTCCTTAAAAGCACAAGAAATATTCAGTCAAGCATGTCCCAACTTTTCACTGGTAATGAATGTTCAGATTGGTTGTGTTGTGTTTTCATAGCTTTGTGTGGTATTTCGCTTTCATGTTGAGCTTGGTTAGGAGTTATGATTTCAGTACAAAGAGACGGTTGCCCATCCTCACTGAAGTATGTGTTCAAATAAGTGAATAAGACCAGGACCTTTAGTCTACAGTGGACTATGAAGCTTACCTTCCGGAAAGATGGGTGGCAGTCGGTGCTGATAGAACTGATGTGGGGGCACGTCACCGGGGCTGACTGGGGGATAATATGACGTATGTGAAGCCGGAATAAAGTGTGGGTGCGTCAGGTACGGCGGGTGAATGTGGTGGCTCGGGGACAGAGCCGGAGAGTAACTCGGAGGGTAACATTCAGAATGAGGTGTGACCACAACCCTCCGCATGCCCGTGTTGTCCTCCAGAACCTGAAAATACAAACATCCACAGACGTCATACCAAACAATTCCCAACCTCACAGGCCCTCTGATGTCAGCCATTAGTGCCCCACCCGACAAACAACACCGGATCTAACGTGCCAGCAGTTACGAGGCAACCACAGATGTTCAGTGCCACTTTAAACAAAGGGCAGGAATGCAAAAGTAAACAAGGCCTTCTAATGGAACGGCTATCAAGTACATTCCACTGGAGGAATGCATGCATGGAAGATGCTTACAGGAATCACAGATCTGCTGGTACAGTTCACATGGGAGAATCAACTCACTGTCCTCAACTTATAACCCACGCTGACCAGCTTGGTCACCCAAGGTTAAAGGGTGAGGTTATTGACGACAGCAGAAAACTGTTCGTTACCAAAAATGCTTTTACTGCAGGAAAATCAGCATGTTCTTGGTTCAAGCAGCGAGCTATTAAAACACTTACACAGCATGTACCTTCAAGCCCCCCTGGGAAGTTCATATTTTCTAGTTCGTAATTGATGCAATGTGCATTTAAATTATTGAAGATGCAGTGATGAGGGGTGTTTTCTGGCAAACAGTACACAAAAATGTTTACAAAGTGTTCACTCAATATTTATAATTAAAAATTATGTCCAATACCAACTAGCTTTTCCATTTTAAACCAGAGGGAAAGCTTTGTCCAGAGATAAATACTGACATGTGGGGAAAACAAGCACAAATTTATGTTTGAGTTTGTGTATTCTGCCACGTGCAAAGACAGATTATGTCAAATGTTCATTTGTGCTTATAAATTAAGCAAAAAATTGAACATCATAGTGATTTCAGGAGAACCAACAATTGCTCACATCAACAAATTCATTTTTAAAATAATTTTATCAAGTTTAGCTCTAACTGTTGATGTGAAATTGTTAGTATGTTAATTTTAGTATTAAGTAGTATTTTTAAAATCAAATATTAATTGTATTAATTAATCTCAGAGGTCTACAAACTCAGTTTCTGGATTTATTCACTAACATTAAAAATAAATCTTAAATCATAATGTCAAGACACGGTGACACTATGATTCTATACAACTCAAGCATATCTGGACAGGTAATTAACTCATAAATAGTATCATGGATGGCACATTATTATTTATTAGGTAATGTGTTTAAATATAATTTAAAAATCTGGGGTCAGTAAGATTTTTATTTTTGAAAGTAAATAATACATTTATGGAGCATAGATGCATTCAATTAATCAAAAGTGACAGTAAAGACACTTATAATAACTTAAATAATCCAGAAAAATATATTTTAGAATTTTTTTAAATTACAATCATTTTTTATTTGTAATAATATTTTACAATATTAATGTTTTTACTGTAGTTTTGATCAAATAAATGAAGCCTGGGTGAGAATAGATGTCTTTAATTAGCATAAAAAAATCTTAATAAAAAATCTATAAAAAAAAAACAAAACTTTTGAACGATATTGTATGTTGACTGTTACATATGTTTTTATGTAGAGATAAAAAAAAACTGCCATTTATGAGGCCACATGCTTGTGCAATAAAATGCCATTTCCCATCATTTTCTGAGGCAACAGAGCAACAATTACACACATAATGAGCATTATTATCACTTCATTTTGATGCACTTGTGCTAAAAAGCTCCCATCTTGTTGAGAAGTTCAAAGAGAGAAACTGGTGTGCAGGTCCTGTCCTTCACATTCGGGTGGAATGCGCTAATGAATCATATTTACACGAGTGACCTTTGTGCCATTATAACCCTCCCACTGATTTATTACACCCACAACTCAAACCCTTTTTCCTGCCCTCTCTGCAAGAGTTTTTGACCTTTCTACTGAAATGTCACTGCCGCCGACCTTTAGCAAACTCTGGCCTGACACCGTTCCTTAAGATGAACAACTTGGAATTTTGTGCCTGTTCTTCTGTTGTTTGTTTGGCTGCTGCATACTAGAATCACACTTTGTAAACATGTTTCCAAGAAAGGGATATTCGCCTATGAGGGGTGAAATCACATCCTCATTGTGCGAGAGAGGTTTCGCCACCCCGACGCATGGCCCTGACCCATTCCTGACGGTTACCTGGGAGACGTAGCCAGGAGGAACGTGGATTGGTGGAATGGAACCGTTCGGTGACATCATGGGAACTTCAGCAGGCCCTGAGGCAGAAAAAAAAGAGAAGAAAGCTGTCAATCAAACAGTAACACAATGCTGACTCCGCCCCCTCATTCCATCACGTAATGCAAGGCTAAGCAAAGAAAATTCCAGGGGCTACGAGAAAACAGCAGAAAAACAGGAATGCATTGGTAATAAGACACGTATATGCTTAAGAGATGGAATTACACAAGTTAATCGCAAAGCTACCGATTGCATTCTCTTCATTGTATTCTATTCAAGCGATATATACTATATATGTAGCAAATCTCAACTGCACAATTGTTTATATCATATATCGCATCTATATTATCACCCAGCAACATATTTAAATGATATAGTATATCCATCTTTATCCGCATACATACAGTACTCTCACCTAAAGCTATATATATATACACTATACAGCACATTTCAACTGCTCAATTCTTTAGATCATCACAAAATGTATACCATATTATAGCACAGCTTTAAATTTGGATAAGCACACTGTAGAAAAGACTAATTTTAACTGTAAAAATGCTACAGTAAAAACTGTTAATTGTTTACCGTGAGTTCCCTTACTATATACAAGGAAAAACGAATAGATCTAACCTTACATTTCATGTAATTTTTACACTAACTACTGTTACAGTTTGTGGAAGTGAAAAAGAACAATTCATCTTACTGCAATTTACAGTGAAAACCCATAAACTGGCATTCCCAGAATTCCCTGTGAAAGCTCACATTTTATGGTGTTTTGTTTAAAGGTGGGGTATGTATTTTTTTCAAATCGGGCCGAGCACCAAAACAAACTTGTAGCCAATCAGCAGTAAGGGGCGTGTCTACTCATGATGCAGAGGAGAGAGCGGTCAGTGCACAGGACGGACATTAGCCGAGCCGAGCGTCGACAGAAAGATATGATGGCGGATAAAAAAACAAAAGAGGAAAACGTCTGCGGAACAAAAGAAGGCTTA